GAAGTTGAGAAATTTTAGTGGAGAAACTGAGAAAGAGAAGAAGCTAAGAAACAGAGAAAGGAAATCAATGGAATGGGCTGCGATAGTGCGATTGCGTAGGGTTAGGGGTTTTTGAAATTAGACCGGTTTATCCACCAATCCGGTTAGACTGGCGGTTCATTGACTTTATCCAGGTTTTGACCGGGTTAAAGCGGTTTAATGCATAATGACGAGTTTAATGTTGACTCGAACCGGACACATGACCGATTCCCGGTCCAATCGGTTTGACCGACCGGTCCGATCCGATTTTTAAAATAGTGCACAAGTTTTAAGACTACACAAAAAAGGGGGATGGAATCTGAGATAATAAAATCAGTCTGTGGGAGAGTTTTAATTCAAGGTCCATCCGAGACAAGTTTATCCGAATACAACTTATAGAAATAGAATTTATAAAAATATATAACTTTTTAGAAAATTATAAGTTGTTTGGTAAGAAAAAATGTAAAAAAGTATTTTAGTATTAAATTACCAAAAAAAACTTTGTTATACAAGGTAAAATCTAATCAAATTTATAAAAAAAAAAAAAAAAAGCAGTACAAGAATATTTTTGAAATTCTAATACTTTAAATAAGCTAAAAATAACTTATGAAAGAAACCCAAATTTTGAGATAAAATAGTTTATTTAAAATCTCTTAAACATAAAAAGAGTTCTAAAAATATTTCAAACGTGTTTATTTCAAAATTGTTTGTAACTTTTTTTGTTGGGTGTAATGGTAATATTTTTATCCATAATTTACTTGGAGGACGCAACGGTGGGTTGCTACGGGATAGCTTCCCAGAGAAATAGCATGTAAGTTAGCTCGGACATCTCAGTTACTAAAAAAAAAAAAAAAAAAATGTTTGTAACTCTAAATAAGTTCTTTTAGTCCATAGATAAATTCAACCAAATACACTTTAAACTCTTTTAGTCGTTAGATAAACTCAACCCAACACGCTCTCGTGTATCAGTTATTACCACCATGACCCCGTATAAAAAATGAACCATTATATGATTTCCTCCCTCGTATTCAAATACAAATACACAAACTTGAAAGTTCTGATACTAATTAGTACTAGGTGTTTGTGCGTGTTGTGATTAGGGTTGAAAATCGAGTTGAGTTCGATCATAGTAGAACTCAACTCAATTTGTTCGCGAGTATTTCCAAACTCGATGGTCAAGTTGATAATTTTTAAAGTAATAGGGGTCATATGTAATTTCAAAGTTATAAAATTTGCAAATCCATCCCTATTAGATGAGCTTGAAATCGAATTCAAACTCGAACTCGATTAAAACTCGATTATACGAACTCAAATTCAAACTCGATTTCCAATTTCAAATACCGAGTTTGAGTTCGAACTTGATTTCTTAGGCTCAATCAAGCTCGAACTCGAACTCAATACTGTAGTGATTGAGTTGAGTTCGATTTACCAGATATTCGACTTGACTTAACTCGATTTCACCCCTAATTGTGATAACCTTGTTACAAAATTATAAAAGTTCTTATATATGTTTACATCTTGCAACATATGGGCTGTGCATAACTCAACGATATTAAACATATTTGAAGGATTTACTTGTTTATTTCAAGACTGTCCATTGCTCCAAAACTATTTTTCCTTCCATTAATTCAAATCATTTTATATAAAATAGTGGTACTATGAAGTACAAAAGTTACTAGAGTTTGTAAAGGAGATATCTCTTATAATACAGTTAAAGTGCTTATAATCCTTTGAGCTCTTTTTGGTTATTTTATTTAAGGACCAAATTTAATAAAAATTAATTGCTAATAAGAGTTTATAATTAGATAATAGGTGGGAGGCAATAACATCACTCGTAACAAAATTTAGAAAAATAATAAATACTTTCTGATTTTTTCCAAAAAATTACCTAATTTGTTTTTTTTTTTTTTTTTTTTTTTTTTTTGTAGAATTTAATTTTGAAAATAATATTGTGAAAGAATTATTTTTTTAGGTAAAAGGTAATTATATAAATGAATAAAAGAATACAACGTAAGAGGAATCAAGAAAAAACTGCACAAAGCCAGCACTAGAAAAAAAAAAAAAAAAAGGCCAAGTAACCCAAATGGAGCAAGAAAAAAAAACTGTACAAGCAACCAGCAACAACAGGACACCAGTTCCCCACTGCGCGAGCAACACAAACTGCAGAAAATACCCGCATCTGCACTCACATCAGCAAGCAAAAAAGAAAAACACCATGGCCAGCGGCCCAGCAACACCAGAAAACATGCCTACACCGGAAGAAAAAACCCTGTCCAATCTACAGGAATCAAGCTAAAATGATTTGTCAACATGCCCGTCTGCTGCCCCCCTTTTAAATCATCAATATCTCCGGGTCCACGGGAGCCGTTAATAGGAACGGAAGCGGGCATTAGGACTACTGCAGCCCCAATTACCACTAATCTGCAAAGCCAGTATCCTCCACAAGCACAGCAAAATAAAACTCACCCAAAACTCCACTGCAAACTCATTTGTCTCAGTATCCATAGATCACATAGAGTTAGATGTGGCAGCTATAATGCAGCTCATGGGTAAATCCCATTCCTCCATATCCTTGCGAACTGGAGCATTGTCTTTAAAGGAAAGACTGTAAAGTCGGAGTCTTACTGCTTCAACCATCTGTCTCTCCACAACATCTCGGTTCCGCCATTTGCCCTTGAAGAGCCTAAGGTTTCTTTCTTGCCATACAACATAGATGATAGCCCCGAGGATCAAGCACCTAATAACCATCCTAATATTTTTACCCTTGAATCGATCGCACACCATGAGATAATGTTGTCTCATCTAACTATAGGTACCCGAAACTTTCCCTTAGCCTGGGCTGAATTCCAAAGAGCATTAGTAAATCGACACACGAAGAAGAGGTGATCATGAGCGTCCATCGGGCCTTGACACAATACACATTCCAACCGAGTAGGTTCCGACCAGGCCCGTATCCTATCTTGGGTAAGCAATTTGTGCTTGATGGCTAACCACAAAATGGAAGAATGGCGAGGTATACAGAAATTTTATTATTTCGTCAAACCACCAAGCTCGGGCTAACGCGAGGATATAGCTTGACCCAGAATGAGCTCGGTAATAATGATTGATCGACCCAGCATAAGCTCGTCAAGCTGAAGCTCGACCCAGCATAAACTAGTGACGGACAGTTCAAGAAATCATTCAATAAATCTCCAGATTATTTCAGATCACAGATATTATGGGAATGACTAAATCAACCACGATCACTGCGCAATCACAGCGCCCAATCGCGAGAATATTGGAATCGCGATTCAAATCAATTGTAATCCCCTTAATTTTACTCTTTTCTTTGTACAAATTTTGTATATAAACCTCCTCAAACGATGAGGAAGGGATTACGAATTTCACATAAAAATTTTATTGTAAGCTCTCATAGCAAATACAAAAACAGTGGACATAGGCTTCAGAGTTAATTGTCGTGAAAAAATAATGAAAATATTTAAGATTGAAAAGAGTAAAAGTCTTACAAACAGGAAAAATTCATTAAGTAAAATGAAGCAAGTGTACATTCTATTTATATACAACTCAAGTGACAATCTGGCAATAGGTCACAAAAAACACAAATCTAAGAGCTCAAAAAATTTCAAACTAGATCTTCATTGAGCTTCAGTTACCAGAGTGATGAAGAACAGCAGCGTTTAAGTCTTGAAACGCAGAACTCTTGATGTTAAAACGTAGGAACTTTGGGTAAGACCAAAACGCTGAGTTTTGGTTTTGACAACTAACGGGCACACAACGATTTGTCAATCTCTGGTTAGTTTTGGTTGAAAGCAAGGAACAATGAAAAACAGTTGATGCTACAACGTATAATGAGTTTATCTTGCTTGTCTTTTTTTTTTTTTTTTTTTTTTTCTCTATTATAACAACTCATTGAAGATCATTGCTCCTTGCTTTCAACTGTTTTTCAAACACTTAGTTGAAATCCTAGTTCCTCTTCTAGCTTTTGCTTAACATGCCTCCTTAAGCTAAACTCCCTTCCTTCCATTTAACTTTTCTTCTTTTTCTTCTTGTATTTCATCAATATCCACCTGGAAAATGGACTGTGGTGATGTAATGGTTAGCTTGTCTCGCAATTCTTGGAACCTGGCAACTGACAGTGGCTTATTGAGTTCACTTGCTAGTAAATAGTGATACAAATCATAACAACCCAATTATAAGATTTTTCATTTCTTAGAGTAGTGATTTTTAAACCCCACATATTTTTTTACTTTTGTCAACTAACATTGGTTTTTTTTAGTTTCCCCAAGGCTTTTAGACTAATACCACCAGTCAAGAATTGAATTGTATGTAATGCACTAAAGAAGTCAAGGCTATTTTACAGTTCTCTAGAGAAGTTAATCACTTGAGAGACAAAGAAATCACTGGCACGCAAAGGAACCGAACTGAAAGGAAAGTCCAGATCATAAATTTAAAATAGCAAGTGGGGTTATAGATAAATTAGATGGGGTCTAAACATATTAGCCCATGTTGATGTAGCGATATTTTGCTGGAAATGCAACATAATTTCAGTTCGGAGTTTTAAAACTTTTGGCGCCAAAAATCCTCTGTTTTTGCATTGCAACCTGACGTGTGTGAGCTGCTGAAGTTGATATGTTTTGGTGATGTGTTTAGGTGTACTTAGCTGTGATTAAGACATGTATTAGTTGTAAGCTTTGGTTTAAATTTCAAATTTGTAAATATCCCTGCAAAGTTGGTGTAACAGTGGGTTGTTTTGTTGTATAAATTTTCAATGTTAATGTAATGTAAGATAGAACCTTTCTCTCAATTCAGTTTCTCTCTTTCTTTTCCTTAGTATTCTCCGACCTAAAACACCAACGTATGGTATCAGAGTTAGCTTAAGAACCTGAGAACTCTCCCTCACACGATCAACTCTTTACCTTGCCTCCAAGAACTCCTCTGTTTTAGACCTCTCACCTGAACTGATGGCTGCTTAATCAGCCTTGATGTCACCTCCAGTTTTCAATGGTGAACAATATCACATGTGGGCTATCAAAATGAAGGCTTTCCTCCGGGGCCAAGGCTTGTGGCAGTATGTAGAAGAGAATAGGCAGCCAACACAGTTGAGACAAAATCCAACTCTAAATCAAATCAGAATTTTTGAAGAAGAAGCTGCTAAGGCTCCGAGAGCCTTGTCTTGTATTCATGCTACTGTAATAGACCTTGTATTCACAAGAATAATGGCATGTGAAACTGCAAAAGAGGCTTGGGACAAGTTGAGGGAGGAATTCATGGGAAGTGACATTACAAAGAATATGCAGGTGCTGAACTTAAGAAGGGAGTTTGAGATGTTGAGGATGCAAGAATCTAAGAAGGTAAAGGAGTATGTTGACAGGCTGATGAGTGTAGTCAACAAATTCAGGTTGCTTGGAATGGAGATGACAGAAAGAAGACTTGTGGAGAAGATTTTGCTGAGCTTGCCTAAAGGGTTTGAGTCCAAAATTTCTTCTCTTGAGGACTCAAAAGACATGTCTCAGATTACACTTACTGAGTTAGTCCATGCCCTACAAGCTCAAGAGCAAAGAACACTCTTGAGGCAAGAAGATACAAGTGAGGATGCAATGATGGCAACTCACAAAGGCAAGTCTACACAAGGAAATAATAGGAGGTATGTTGGAGATAAAAAGGGGAAAGAAAGAAGTAATGGTCAATAGGGAAAACCAAGTGGGATGAAGGAGTATCCACCTTGCTCTCACTACAAAAAGAAAGACCATTACGAGAAGAAATGCTGGTTCAAGCCAGGGATACATTGTAGGGCCTGCAAGCAGTATGGGCACATAGAAAAGGTTTGCAAGAACAAGGGAATTCAGCCACCACAGCAAGCACAAGTTGGGAAGATCAAGTGCAAAGTCAAGAGGCTGAACAACTCTTTGTCGCCTCTTGCTATGCAACTCATATTAGCAATGAAGCTTGGCTGATTGACAGTGGCTGCACCAACCACATGGCTACAAACCTACAAAATTCATCAACCTAGACAAGTCATATAACTCCAGAGTTAAGATAGGGAATGGTGACTTTGTGGAGGTCAAAGGCATAAGAGATGTTGTTGTCTAAACACAATCAAGTACTAAAATCATCCCTAATGTATCTGAAATTAGCCAAAACTTACTTAGTGTTGGACAAATGTTAAAGAAGGATTATTCTCTACATTTTCAAAATCAGTCATATTAGATGGTGAGGGAGATGAATTGATGAGTGTGAAAATGATGGGAAAAAGCTTCCTAGTTGAGTGGAAGAAACCTGATGATCTAGCATTACACTACAACAAAAAGGGCTTTTAGCTACAAATTTTTTTGTTGCTAAAAACCTAGAAATCGTTGCGGTATACGTTTAGCGACAAAAGAAAATCATCGCCACGATCGTCACGGTAGGCATGTCGTGCTTGATTTTAGGTGACAATTTGTTAAAATTTGTCTCTAAATTTGGCGACAAACCGAAAAATTGTCGCCTATACCATTTTCATCGCTAAAACTAATTACCGGTGAAATATTAAATGTCGTCGCCTAAAGTTAATAGCGACGTACTCTCTATTGTGTCGCCTACTCTATACCGCGACGATATATGTGTTTATGTCGCTTAACCTATACCATGATGAAATGTGAATTTTGCTCGCCTACAATATACCGCAATGAAATGTGCATTTTTGTTGCATAAAGTTAATAACAACATTATAATTGTATGCGTCGCTTAGAGTATACATCGACGAAATGTGACGTTTTGTAGCCTAACATGTAGTGCGATAAAGTATGAGATGTTGTCGCCTAAAGTTAATAGCGACGTAATCTATGTATGTGTCGTTTAAAGTATAACACGACGTACTTTATATTTCGTCACTTGAAACTATTAGCGATGAAACGTAAAAGTCATCAGCAGAACTTTTCAACGTTGAATGTATTTCATAGCTAAAAGTCTACAACGCCGAAATATAATTGTGGTCGCCCTTTTTATTATATATATAAATAACATTTAATTTATCTTAGACATTTTAAAATTTAATTCTAAAACATGAATATCAATTTGTAAATGTAATTAATTCAAATAAGACAAATATATCGAACCAAATATATTATAGAACTATATATGTTTGTTTTTAAATAAAAAGTTAAAATATATATACAGTTGACTAAATTTTTAATGTTCAACAAAAAGTGACAAATAAAAACTCAAATTGTTGCAGGTGGTGGAGGATCCGGTGGAAATTGGCCCGGAAATATTTGTGAGCCATTAGATCGAGAACCCATATTAATTGAGATGAATTGCTGCATCTTCTCTATCATTTGCCTATATTGGTGAAATTTTTCCCTTATGCCTCGTAGTTCTTGCACCTCCTCACGCAAGTGTGTGAGTTCCTCTAAACTTCTTGATCGGCCTTGTAGTCTTCAAAGATGCAGGTGGTTTTGGACCATAACCCAATCCACGATAATAATAATTAAAAATTTAAAAATTTATGTTCAATATTATAATAAATAAAATAAAATAATTTCAAACATTAACATATACAAATACTACCTGATATACTATCATCTCCAATATGACTGATAGGTGTAATATTTATTGAAGCCGAAGGAGTCGAATAAGGACTCAATGTCGGAGGAGTCCATGCCAAAGAGGCAGATGCCATAGGAGTTGACGAAATATGAGTATTATGAGAAGTATTCATGCTCGGTGTTGATTTTTTTTTACCCTTGTTCCTATTCTTATTAAACATCTAACATAGATAAATAAATTAATATCAAAGTTTTGGCTAGCTAATCATGCATGGATAGTTTTATAAAGCTGAACTAGTTAGTCTAGTACTTGAAAAATTGTGTTCATGAAATATTTAACATAAAATGGTCATCATAATGTTTCCTATTGCTTTTATTTATCCGTCCAACGAGCTTTCAGATTTAAAAAATAAATAATAATAATAATAAAAACAAAAACAAACCTAATGAACATAATTCTGGCTTCTAAATTGTATCTTAGTTACTCAAAATATTACTCAATTTTGAATAACAAAACTTACACCATCTAAAAATTATCTCAACTTATAAAGCACACACGAACAAAAAAAACCTTAAATTGTACTATTAACAAAGCCCTATCCTACTACTATCATAAATTAAAATTTAACAAAACTAATCAACACTAATTGCCCTCAAATCAGCCAAATAACAACTCGAAGCATACACAAGGGAAATCAAGAATCAAGTTTATACTCTATCAAATTCTAGCTACTATAATGAAATCAAATTACAAAACGACAACGTTAAAACAATGAATTTACTCCATAAAATGGAAATTAAAATGCACAATTTTCTTAAAATAAATTACAAATCCCTAATTCAATTACAAAATAAAACAAATCATCAAAAAGAGATTTTTAGCTACTAAAAAGAAATCAAATTACCAAACAACAACGTTGAAACTATGAATTGAATCCAGCAAAAAAAAAAAAAAAAAAAAAAAAAAAAAATTTGAAGAATTAAAATTCCAGATTTTTTTGAAATGAAAATAAAATGTTTAACCTTAATTTGCTATGTTTCCCTACCAATCTTAACAATGCAGATTGGTGCCTTAATGAATTGAAGTGCCACCGAGAGAGAGAGGGAGAGTCTGAGATAAAATATGTGAATTGAAGCGCCATAGAGAGAGAGAGGGAGAGTCTAAGATAAAATATGTGAATTGAAGCGCCACAGAGAGAGAGAGGGAGAAGAATATTATAATGGCGCTATTTGTAACTTCCCTTTTAATAAAGAGATCATGATCAATATAGGCAGCGGGTTTATGGGCATTGTGATTAGGTTGGCTGCTGTAGATAATATTATGTTAACCTAAAACTAAATAATAATAATAATAATAATAGGTTGGAAGAATCAGAACTTTGGCATAAAAGGTTTGGCCATTTTCACTATAATGGCCTCAAAGAACTTATGAGCAAAAATATGGTCCAGGACTTGCCTGAGATTGAAGAAAAGAAGAGCCTTTGCAATGCTTGCCAACTTGGTAAGCTCAGTAGGCCACATTTCCCTTCGAATCAGGTCTGGAGAGCAACTGAAAAACTCCAACTGATCCACACTGATGTGTGTGGCCCGATGCAAGTAGAATCCTTGGGTGGAAGCAGGTATTTTGTGTTATTTATTGATGATCTCACACGGATGACATAGGTGTACTTCCTAAAGCAGGAGAATGAAGTTGCTGTAGTGTTTAAGAGATTTAAGCTGCTGGTGAAGAATCAAACAAGGCTGAGTATCAAGGCTATAAGGAGTGACAATGGGACAGAATACACATCAAATGAGTTTGATTCAATTTGCAAAGAAGCGGGGATTAAGCATCAATTTACTACTCCGCTCTACAGCAAAATGGAGTAAGTGAAAGGAAGAACTAAGGCTATCAAGAATCAAGCTCCATTTGAAGCCTAGAGTGGAGTCAAACCAGCAGTGAGTAATCTTAAGGTGTTTGGGAGCATTTGTTATGTGATGGTTCCAACAAACAAGAGAACCAAGTTAGATGAAAAAGCAGCAATGAGAGTCTTTATAGTGTATAACAGTCAATTCAAGGGCTATAGGGTCTACATTCCTGAATCCAAGAGAATTGTGATTACAAGAGATGTAAGGGTTGATGAGAGATCAATCTGGAACTGGGAAGAGAAGAAGATTGATGAAGAATCCAGACCATAGCAGCCAACAGAAGACTTGATTGATGAGGCAGAAACTGATGAGGATGAAGAATTCTCTGTTAGAGGGACCAAAACTTTGGCTGATGTGTATGCAATGAGCAATATGGTTGTGCTTGAACCAAGGAATTACACTGAAGTTGCAAGGTCAGAGGCCTAGAGAAATGCAATGTAAGAGGAGTTGTCAATGATAGAAAACAAATCACCTAAGAATTAGTGGACAGACCAAGAAATAGAAAGGTGATCCAAGTGAAGTGGATTTTCAAGAAGAAATTGAACCCTAATGGATCAGTCCATAAACACAAGGCAAGGCTAGTGGTTAAGAGGTTTGCATAGTTGCAAGGGGTGGATTTTTCAGACACTTTTGCTCTGGTGGCCAAGCATGGCACTATCAGGTTGCTTCTTGCTTTAACAGCTCAATTTGCCTATAAAATTTTCCAACTAGATATTAAGCCAGCATTCTTGAATGGTTGGCTGAGTGAGGCAATATTTGTGGAGCAACCCGAAGGCTATCAAGTCAAGGGTAAAGAAAATTAGGTGTATCTACTAAAGAAGACCTTATATGGCCTGAAGCAGACTCTTAGAGCCTGGTACAGCAAGATAAATGATTACCTATGCAGCCTAGGATACACTAGAAGTCCAAATGAGCATACACTCTATGTCAAGAAGGTTGAAGGTGAGTTGACAGTAGTCTCTTTGTATGTTGATGATCTACTAATCACGGGAAGCAATGTTGAGCAACTAAATTAATTCAAGAAGGTCATGCAACGTGAATTTGAAATGATTGTTTTAAGAGAAATGACATAGTTCCTTGGTATGGAGATAAATCAATCCAATGAAGGGATTTTTGCGTGCCAAGAAAGGTATGCAAATGAAGTTCTTAAGAAGTTTGGCATGGAGAATTTCAAACCAGTGGACACTTCACTGGTTCCAAATGTAAAATTAACCAAAGATGATGGTGCAATGAGAGTGGATGAAGGGCTGTTCAGAAGCTTAATTGGATGCTTGCTATACTTGACAACTACACGACCTGACCTCATGTTTGCCTCTCGCTATCTTTCTAGGTTCATGAGCAATCTAAGTGAGCTACATTTCAGGGCAGCCAAGAGGGTATTGAGGTATGTGAAAGGGAGTACCATGCTTGGTATTTGGTTTAAAAAATCAGAAAGCCTGGAGTTGTTGGGGTATTCTGATAGTGATTGGGGTGGATCTCTTGATGACATGAAGAACGCCTCTGGTTATGTGTTTTTACATAAACTCAAGTGCAATTTGTTGGCTGTTAAAGAAACAAGAGACTGTGGCTCAGTCCATAGCAAAAGCAGAGTATATTTATGCTACTGTAGCCGTGAACCAAGCCATATGGCTAAGGAAAATTCTTGATGACTTGAAGCAAAATCAAGGAAGTTCGACACTGATCTTGTGTGACAACCAATCTATAGTTGCCATGGCCAAAAACCATGTTCTTCACGGCAAAACCAAGCACATTAAGATAAAGTTTCATGTCGTGAGGGAAGCTGAACATAATGGTGAAGATAGTTTAGTGCATTGCAGGGGTGAGAATCAAATTGCCAATATTATGACCAAAGCCAAGTTTGAAGATCTTAGGCTCAAACTTGGTGTTTCTAGCAAAAATATCAAGGAGTGTTGATGCAATGATATTTTGCTAGAAATGCAACATAATTTTAGTTGGAGTTTGAAAACTTTTGGCACCAAAAATCCTCTGTTTTTGCATTGCAGCCTAACGTGTGTGAGTTGCTGAAGTTGATATGTTTTGATGTTGTGTTATGATTAAGACATGTATTAGTTATAAGCTTTGGTTTAAATTTCAAATTTGTAAATATCCCTGCAAAGTTGGTGTAACGGTGGGCTATTTTGTTGTATAAATTTGCAATGTTAATGTAATGTAAGATAGAACCTTTCTCTCAATTCAGTTTCTCTCTTTCTTTTCCTTAGTATTCTCCGGCCTAAAACTCCAACACCCTATCTTATTTGAAATTAAGCTTCTTCTTTAGTTCCAAATTATTGGATTGATATTTCATTTTAGGGATATAAGATTATGTGTAAAAGAAATAAGGAGAAAAATAATGGTCCAAACGATTCAAAATATCATGAAATCCGAAAAGAATAAGAAGAATAACAATGAAAATTCATGGAAGGCATGTCAATTTGAAGAAGAGAAGATGTGGCTAATTAGAATAAAATTGCAGGTTGTAAGAGAATCACTCTTCACTTCTTTTTCTCCAAAGTTTATTTATATAAAATCATTTGGGAATACAATATAATACACTTCTTATAATAATCTTGGCAGTAGTATTTTTAAATTTTCTTAGTTGTATGTAAAATTCACAATTTATTACATATTATAATTTTAATTATATAAACAAATAGGTCTTAATCAAATAAAAGTTTCTGATTATTTTTTTTTTTCATAAAAATCATTCTACATTCTCTTTTTTTCTTATTTATACATTTGTCTTTCTCTATTTGTAGACACACTTTTATTTTCTTGTATCGACAAAATTAATATTATGGTGTATACATATTTAAATTTTTAGCCCTCCCAAAAATTATTTTCTGGTTTCGCCCCTGACATTGATGGAGAAAGACTAGCCTTTTTCATGATTGGTGAATGTGTGTGCTTCATGTTTATGCTAAAATATTAATGAAACATATATCCAGTAACTAGTATATAAAAAAGCCTAGTATAGATAAGTTCGTAATAAAAAAAAGATAGAATACGAGGTATTACCACCCTCCTTATAAAATTTTCTCTCTCTATTATGTCTTTAAATTAATTGTGATTAATTATTAATTATAATAACTACTTGACATGCATGCATTGTCATATGATACCACGTCAACAATACCTTATAATATCATAGAATTTCTTAAGAGTAATCGCATTAAGCTAGAAGTTTTATTATCTAAACAAATGTCTTGAAATTGAAGTAATGAAACCCTTTAATATATAAATGTTACAATATGATCCTCAAAGACTTAAATCTGATTAAACATTTATTCTTCATCTTCTTACAGCCGGCAGTGGTTCTTCCGTTAACATATATTGTCTCTTAGAATTCAGTTGCTTAACTTCGCAAAATCAACAGTTTTCTTCCCATCATGTGCCTTCCTGAAGAAATGCTTCACATAATCCGAATACAAAACTTTCTTATATAGTGCTTTCTTCCCATTTGCAAGCACTTCAGGCAGAGGACAAATTATGTCAATTGGTCTAGGATTGACGAATATCGGAACCGAAATCCTGTTACTGCTTCTGTTAGCAACTACGCAATGCTCAACACTTTTGTATCGCCCATTGCTCAGTATTTGCAATGCATCTCCAACGTTTATCACAAGGGAACCTTCAATTGGAGGGACATGAATCCAGTTTTCGCCATCGGCTGATCGAACGTAGAGCCCTCCAATATGATCTTGAAGGAGGATTGTGAGAGTTGAAACGTCTGAATGACGACCGACTCCGATTGTGAGTTCAGGATTTGGACAAATGGGATAATAGTTCAGGTTGGTTCTGATAGAACCCCAGAGAAGAGATCTTTTCGTTTCATCAATTTTGTTCACGTTTAGCCCCTTCATCAACACTCGTAAAAGCTGTTCGATTAGAATTTCAGATTTCCTCATGTACTCCAACACTTCGTCCCTAAAACCAAAAAGAAATTTAGTTAGCCATAATATTAGCGTACATAACTATAAGACATGTTAAAAGATTAATTTTCGTATATATAGATGTATCATTAACAGGGACGAAGATTTAATGTTGAGGGGGCAAGCTTAATATAAAATATAGAGTTAACAACTTTTTCCCACCCAAATAATGGCTTAATGACACTCACGGATTTTTAAAATACTATTTACTACTTAAATTTATATTCCGACGATGAATAAAGAGCAAACTCGGTCCAAACTGTTAGGGTTTTTAAAAAAAGGGAGACTGATAAGTCTTTTGGTGGTGAAAAGTTGGATTTTAATGTTTAGGATTGATTGGAATTTAACTTGGGAGAGACAGTTACGTAAACCCTAATTAATCGGTTGCCGACGATTGACGAGGTCAATATGAATAGGGTTTGAGAGGTTTTTGTGAGTGATTATTGAAGAAGAGAATTATGATGGTGTGAGGTTGCAATAATGTCGGAATCGAAAACGAAATATAAATTTGGATAGTAAAATGATATTTTAAAAGTCTGTGAACAGAAAAGTGTCCATAAGCCATTTTTGCGTGGGAAAAAGTTATTTACTCTAAAATATATGATAAAAATAATGTTAGATGTAAGAAATATTTAATTCGCCCTTTTTAGTTTTTAGTTGTAATTGACAAAAGTAATATAAAATATATTTAATTAATAAAAGACGTGTCTTTTTAAAGTGCAGTTCCGAATGAGATAACATCCATGAATAGTTCTAACATCGTTTAACTATAAAACACAAAAATTCAATCGAACGTTATGTATTGAAAACCGAAATATTTTATCTGTATGTGCTAAACTAACTTAAAAAAATGCAAACATCAACACCTGAAAATTCTTGTATATACTAAACAGTTAAGAGTTCTCTTACTTGCAAGCAGGAGGCCACAAAGATGAAGATTCATCCTCAGAAACATAGAATAAACTGAGGTAATCCTTCCATTCAAGAGCCTTTTCAGCTTGAGGACTGAAGCTTGTGCCAAACCTCACACTGTTAGAGGGCGAAAGCTCCTTGGAATACTTCTTCTTCTCCTCAGCCGGCAACCCGAAGAACCGATAAGTCGCCTCCTTCACTCCCTCCAGAACTTGAACCGGAACACAATGGTTAACAACCTGAAAGAATCCCCACTTCTCGGCTGCATCACAAATTGATTTCGCAACTTCGGTATCATCCCATTTTGACATATCAATTACAGGAATGGATTCATGAGCCAAGATTTTGGAGTCGTCGATTGTCTCTTCTGAGGATTGGACATACTGCTTAGGGAGGGTTTTTAGTCCCATTTCGGAGAGACCCTTTACTCCATGACCTTTGTTTATCACAAAATCACTCACGTCGGAGGAGTCGGAGAAGGGAATTGTTGGTGCCATTGCAATTGAAATGAAACGATTTAAAAGAGTGTAAAGCAAATAATGTTGTTGTGTTGGTCCAATTCCAAAAGCAAAATCAGTGGCTATTTATATTGCATTGTGTTGTACAGCAATTAGTTTAGATAAATTAAGGCCAATATTCATGCCATTTTAGGGCTCTGCTTCGCAGTTGCACTCAAGTTTGAATTATAGGAATTCATGTGTGTTAATTAATTAACTAGTCAACTGGGTGACCTTTTTTGAGGTAGGTTAATGTGTATGATTCATATGTTTTTGTATAAAAAAGATAAATATTTTTTGGTATATAATCTAGGTTAATAATTAGTAACAAATTAATAAACACATACCATTGTTGACCTCCAAAAGTGACAATTTTTGTTGTAGATGATGTTAAACATATTAATGTAATGTTTTAGCAAACTTAATTAGTAATAAACGACTTGGCTTGTAATCGGACAATAAGACTTTAGGTTACTGAGAGATCTCGTGTTGAAGTCTCATCAAATAGTCATTTACTACATTTGTGACTTATCTGGTCTATTAGATTTGTAGGGTGTTTAATGGATCTCTTTAATGAACCTGAAGATTAATTAAGATGCGTGCAAACTGGCTCGAACACTTTAGTCAATCCAAAAAAAAAACAAATTTCTAAAGTTTCTTAAATCAATTTACATTGGATCACTATTTGAATGCATAATTGAGTCAAGTAGTGGAATTCTACACGTCTTTTGGTAAACTAAAAAGACATATAGATCTAATTAATTAATATTTTTGTTAATTTCAAAAGCTAATCCTTACATTTAAGTTTTTGTCAAGAGTATTAGTATTTGTGGTAGATGATTTATTGGTATATACATATTTTGTCAAACTCTATAGTGAAATTATATCTCATAGGCAATACTTAATTTAAGTAAAAGAAAGTTTCATGTATATATGTTGAGCATTCTCCTCATTAATTAGTTAGGTGTAGATTACTAGAGAATTGGCCAGATTTAATTGATTATTTGAAGGGGTGTTATCTTTGATCAGACTCATCGTTTCATTTTATATCTTGCTAGTAGATCAATCTTTTGCCTATGTTAATTTTCTTGTGATTAATTTCATTTTATACACATATATATTAACATAGTATATGTTCTTGGTGCATGGCATGCTTTGATAACCTTGTTCACCAATTTCTTCTGCAAATTTTATTAATATATATCTTTATCTCAATAAATGGTTATTATCATGAAGCATGAAGCATGATCCATGAACGATTCCTGAAGATAAGTAGTTCAGCCATAAAAATTTTAATTTCTAATTTCCTTGAAGGGCAAAGCAAAGCAATAAACGAAAGGACGAATGTAAACTAAACCAAATCACAATTTCATTATGAAAGGAACAGAATCAAAGTGTCACAAAAAATGGAGGCCTACTAACCATTCTTAAAATTATACATTACAATCAGACCAAAAATACACCCTCTGGAGAAGAATAAAGACCCTCTTAGGAGGAGCCAAATTGGTAAAAGACAAGAGAAACACATCAACTATTGAACCACCCTAGAGAGTCTCTGAGCTTGTGCATTGCCTATGACTTCATTACATTGTCAATTTTCATTGAGTTTTTGCATCTCCGTGTTTCATTCTTTGCAATCTCGATTGCTGCTGCTCTAACTGCCCTAGGGGTAGAGAATCACATAGACGGAAAATCAAAGCAAGATTAGAGTGAGAAAGGCTGCTGATACCAGAACCTGAATTTTGGAAACTAGCAAGGTTGTACTCCCTCCTCCTAAGGGACTTGTAGGTCCGAATGCCACAGTAGGTGAGAACCCCCCGGGTGTACTTGAATTAGAACTGTTTCAAAATAAGATTTGCATGGTTAGAGCCAAAAGCGTATAGAAGCTATGATTTCCAATTCAAAACAGTTCAAATGTAATGAAGTCAGATTCTCACCTTCCTGCATATATACAGGAGCCATAACCTGCAAGGAGGCAACCGCCAACCCAGAAATTAGCACAAATTGAGGAAGTGAAAAGGAACAGAATTCCTTAGATATTTATGTGTGTGTGAGAGTAAATATACCAAAACAATTTTGAGGCGGAAAAAGCAAGGTCAATGTCACAGAAAGAGAGTTCCTTTTGAAATAAAGAGTGTTAAAGGAGAAACAGGGCTAGGATTTATGGTTTCACCTAAAATAACAAAGAAGAAAAAGGTCTCCTCAAATATATTCCACAAAACTCATATAGCGGTTTGAAACATTGAACAGGAGCAAAAAGCAGAACAGTTAGAATTTTATTATGTACTCTAACTAATCATTTAATCTAAAATGGCAAGAATCCAGAGTCTTAACCACTAAAAATTTATAGTGTGGTAATAGCACTATCAAAAAATTGCAACCAAGCATTTTATATGGATATGATTTAGTGTACACAAGTTGAACTATAGACCGTTCAATCCATAATATACATAGAGCATGTTTCTCTGATAAATTAGCTTATCAGAGAATCCCCTTTTCTTTCCATTTTTTTTATCTTACTCATACTAGATTTTTTTTTTTACTCCAGATGGTAAAGAAAATGCAAAAGAAACAACTTTCTAAAGTGAACCACAAACTCTCAAATAAATCTGTCACCAAAAGGCTTTACAAACCAAAGAATAACCAAATTCAAGGTATTTTTAAAGTCATTCTTAGTCAAATCACAAAAATTTGCATCCAAACACACCTATAACTGCAAGAATGGTGAAAAAAGGATAGTGGAAACTTACTGGGATCAACAGAAGTTGTCATAGCTGTACCATCAAAGTTGCATGTTCCGCCAACATTATGCATTCTCTGATAATAATCATTATAGGCATATGAAGCATGACTCTTGACAGTGTTGGGAAGATAACATGGCTTTCCCTCTTGGATGGCAGAGCAATTAGCCTTGCCTTGCCCACAAGCCCAGTTCAGCCCTTCTTGCAACTTATCAGAATCTGCATCATCTCTTGCCACACAGAAAACACCAGAAGAATTTCCCATATTTTGACCGGAAGCAGTCAAACTCAGAGGATAAACGGCAGTCCCATTGGTAAAAAAGAAACCCCAGTTTTTCTCTGAAACAGGCCCAGGCCTCTTGTCCTCATTGAACAACTCGTAAATGTATGTGTTAATGGGCATTGAAGTCTGACTGGGAGGACCAGAGTCATTCAAAACTCTTTTGATCAGATTATTATTGTATGTCTCAGCATTTTCCAGAGTTGCATCAGGTTCATCGCCTCCACCAAGCCAAGGCCAACCAGATTCTGTAACAACAACAGGGATCCCTGAAAGATTGTAAGCATCTATAGAATAGTAGGTAGCATCTACCATGGCATCAAACATACTGTCATAGTGGAGAAGCGTGTTTGGGTCAACAATTTGCTTGACTGCAGGAAGTGATCTGAAAAGGGCATAATCAATTGGAAAAATACCATTTCCCTTGGTGTAACCATAATAAGGATAAGCATTTAACATGAAATAGGAGTTAGTATTCTTCAAAAACTGAAGGATCTGGTAAATTGTAGAGTTCCATGAAGAATTAAAGGTAGCAGTGGAAGGAGGGAATGGTTTGGGAATAACATCCATGTTGTGGGGTGTTGAAACTTTGACTTGGAAATTTAGATCAGTAGCAACTAAGGCCTTATGAAGGTTATTCATGGCAGACACCAAAACCGGTGCAACATTAGGGACTGCAGTAAGCACCTCACTGCCAACAGAGATAGCTGTAATATTAGTTGAAGGCATGTAAGATGCAACATTTTTATTAATCCAGGCTGCTGCTGTTGACGGAGTTTCTCCAATCCCCAGGACTTCCTCATTTGTGACACCAACAATTACTTCAATTCCAGTGTTTGCAAGGGCTTTCAGCATGTGACTATCAGCGTCATATAGGCGCACATGAGTAATTTGATTGGCTTTAAGTATGGCAACGACATCCGAAGCCGATGGCATCTTAGAAACATCAGTTCCAATGTTTACTCCAACATATGCACCTAACATTCAGAAAATAACATCTGGTAAGAAAGATAATCCTGCATTAGTGAAATTTCCTACCATGTTTTAAAGGTCCCTTCCATGAAGGATGAAGTATTCTTATAAGAAAAACCCCATCGGTGGAAGCACGTATGGTTTTATGATTATAAGGGCAACTGCTTCAGGCAATGTTTATATTCCATTCTTAAGCAATTTGACAATTTCCATTCCCTTTTCTTGGGAGTCTTTGCCTTCAGATCTTTTCTCTTGACTACCTTATTAGACCAAAACCTCCAATACTTCATCGTCATTATGCCCATAATCAATATGTCAACTCCCACATGTATTAGAATTTTCTTCTTTTTTTGGGGGGGTTGAATGGGGTACTGTAGGGCTCCAAAGCATAAACTCACTAACTAGATAAACTATTCCTCTACAGTGCATTCATAAATTGTGAAGTCCTTTAAGATTATCATCTTTGTAATTGTTGATACTTCTAAACATAATAAGAAAGAGGAACTCCCCTAAGCTAAGTACTTTTAAATTTTAAAAGGAAATGGAGATCATAATCCAATTCATATATTTATAATACGTTTAATTAGAGGTACTGAACACAGGAATATCAAAGTGTAGGACAAGTTTATTAAATTACCTAACACATTGGCGAACATGCCAATTACAAGAAAAAGCACACTTCCAAGCCATTTTACAGGCATCATCTGTCCAACAAAATTTCAACCCAGACCTTCAGTTCTCTGCCCTTTACACCCAGGCAGAGCTTAAACTGCTGAATCTTCCACAAACACTCGCAAAATGGAATGTAATACCAAAAGCTGAAGGCAAAATTCTGCAAGTAGGAGAGAGAACATTGTAGTGACTTAAAAAGATGGAGTCTATATAGATATATAGTAACTAAATGTAGATATGCTAAATATTGTTTTAACTTGGGAATCTCTTTGGCAAACTAATATATGCATAATGACTACATGTTTCAACAGGAAAAAAAAAAAATTAAAACACATTTGCATGATGTATAAAAGCCAGCAATGACAACAGTATATTACAACTTCCAAATAGCAAATATCAAGCATTTGCTCAAATATAATAAAGGCATCTTTTGTTCCTCATAAAGCTACCAACATTAGATTAGCCGATTTACTACTACTGAAGATTGACGTTACCATGTACTCACTCATAGCTAACAAGTATTTTGTAATTATACTAACTGGCTAGTTGCCTCCAAAATCACTAGCTAATAAGTCTTATATATCACTATTATGAAGAACTAGCAACAGCATTTTTGAAATAGAATATCCAAGAATCCACCACATAAACTCTCTTTCCAAGTTTCCTAAAAATTATATTCCTCCTAAACCCTGTATTTGACAATAAGGGAATCCAACACAAAATAAATTAATACCATATGAGACTGCTAATCTATAAAACACAAATTACATGATTTTCAGGGAATGCGACACACTCTAATTTAGAAGTAATTAACATATATGTACAACCTCAAAATAGTGGTATTTGTGAAACTCACTAGTCCTGGAGATTTAAAACAATATATACTCAGTTCATAGAGGGATATTGGGTGCCTCACGTTACCCCTATCAAGCAATATCCGTATAACTATGGTTTTTGTCTTCCTTCCAGGGAAACCAAGGAGAGGAGCATGTGCAGGGGGCACCAAGAGAGATGAGGCGCATGAAGAAGCCCATTGATTACCTAACTATTAAACCAAAAACATGCCTCAACTCAAGTTCCAACTTACTTCTATGAACAAGAAGCCCTTCAATCACCTAATACTTAAATCCAACCGTAATTTCCATGATAAAGTGTACAACATTAAGAAAATGAAACTTAAGCTGAATCCAAATGGTTAAATCAGTCAAAATCTTATGTCCTAGTCAAACCCCAATGAACCACTTCAGACATGGCCCACCCCATTGTACCGTGGAAATGGTTCCTCATCGTCCAATATTCCCAGACCAGTTACAGTTTAATAACTTGCAAAAACACGAATTTTAGTAACATAAGCCGATATAAACACGAGTAAATACAGAGTTGCAAGCATAAAAAACTGCAGAAAAGCTAAGCATGACAAGCCCTAATTTTAAACATCCCATAATCACAATGCAGCATAACTGAACTGCAAGAAATTAGCGAAAGGAGCTCAATATTCAGCAAGAGCGAGAAAGAAACATCTTAGTCATGCCATTTAAGATTCTATAAGGATCTTTACCACTCAGTATGTCTAAGCAATTCTAAGAACTAACAAAGACATAAAACTGTGACTATGTCAAGCTCAGACTCGAGGAAAACTAAAAGCAACTAAACTGAAACAAGAATTAAACTCCTAAGTACACCAAGTCCAGAAATCAAAACGACATAAAACAAGAAACCCAGATGCCAAAACATCAAAAAGCGAAGAACCCAAATTAATAAATGAAGAACAAAACTCAAAAAGTACCTGATCCAAGCTGACCAGCTGAAAGTCTCCTGAAAAAGAATCAACAAAACTTCAAAACCTCCCAGTAGAGTAGTGTTTTAAGACGAAAGTCACTAATACGAGCAACTTAGGAACAGTTTGGTAACTAAAACAGCACAAAACGCACACACTTCTGGTTCTATAGTCACTGTGCTACAAAAAACTATACCCCACAAACAGTAACAGAAGCACTGTACATTTAATGTTATGTCTAGAAGCTAAAACATTAATTCAAGGTTTGTTTTGTTTGTGTATCTAATCTTTTAATTTTATCTGACACCGAAGAGACACAAGGGTTGATTCTTTGTACTTTTGTCTTTCTGGAGACATCAAGATCATGGCCGTCCATATAAAGTATATGGGTCAATTTATTTGTGTCATTTTATTGGTTATATGGAAATAAGACATGCATATAAAGAGAATTAGAGGAGAATTATGGTGATTTTGTTTATCATTTTCCCTCCAAAAGTCACCATCAATTAAGGTATTTAAAGCTTGAATGGAGAGGAAAAGTCAAAGAGAACGGTTTAGCTGTTAAAAACTTTAACTTGTATTACTTTGTTAATGACAATACAATTTTTCATTAGGCTNGCAAGAACTAAGAGGCATAAGGGAAGAATTTCGCCAATATAGGCAAATGATGGAGAAGATGCAACAGTTCATCTCAGTTAATATGGGTTCTTGTTCTATTGGGTCACAAACATTTCTGGCCAATTTCCACCGGATCCTCCACCACCTGCAACAATTTGAGTTTTTATGTCACTTTTTGTTGAATATTAATAATTTAGTCAACTTAATATATTTTTAACTTTTTATTTGAAAAGAAACATATATAGAATAATATATTTGGTTTGATATATTTGTGTGATTTCAGTTAATTACATTTACAAATTAATATTTATGTTTTAGAATTAAATTTTAAAATGTCTAAGATAAATTAAATATTATTTATCATATATTATAAAATGGGAAATGACAATTATATTTCGACGTTGTAGACTTTTAGCTATGAAATACATTCATCATTGAAAAGTTTTGTTTATGACTTTTACGTTTCATCGTTAATAGTTTTAAGCGACGAAATATAAAGTATTGTCATGTTATACTTTAATCGACATATATAAAGATTACGTCGCTATTAACTTTGGGCGACAACAACTCATTTTTATTGCGCTACATGTTATGCGATAAAACGTCACATTTCGTCGTTGTATATTTTACGCGATGCAAATAATTATGGCGTCGCTATTAACTTTATGTAACAAAAATGCACATTTTGTTGCAGTATTTCGTAGGCGAGTAAAATTCACATTTTGTCGCGATATACATTAGGCGACACAAACACACATTTCGTCGTGGTATAGTGTCGACGACACAATAAAGAGTAAGTCGTTATTAACTTTAGGCGACAACAACTAATATTTCACTGGTAAATAGTTTTAGCGACGAAAATGGTATAGGTGACAAATTTTTGGTTTGTCGCCATATTTAGCGACAAATTTTAACAAATCGTCGCCTAAAATCAAGCGCGACATGCCTACTGCGACGATCGTGGCGACGATTTTCTTCCGTCGCTAAAGATATTCAGTGACGATTTCTATGTTTTTAGCAACAAAAAATTTCGTAGCTAAAAGCCATTTTTGTTGTAGTGACCTCATTCATATGTCATATATAATAATCTAATGACAAACATCTTGTACAAACTTTATCATACAAATTAGCGTTTTTAAGATTATTGGATGACTATAAATTAATAATAAATTAAATAAATTTAAAAAGGTTACATATCAAACATATAAGGTTATCACATCAATTTTTAGTGAATAGTTTGTACCTATAATTTATACAAGTGGCGTTACTTATTTTTTGAAAAAAATAAATAAAAAAAAAGTTTAGAAATGTTTTTAATGATCCCACAAAAGAATGATGCAGAAAAACATATTGATGTTTCATCTATGAAAATGGAGAGCGAAAAATATTGGTGACTGTTAGATTTTTGGTTGAGTAGTTTTTTGAGGGATTGGTTGTTTATGAATAAGAAAATAAAAATGAATTTCAGTTTTACACCTATGATAATGACATTAATATTATCCTACTAAACATAAAAAGAGAAATATTTTTGTTAAACCAAATTATTATAATGTATCAATCCAAGTTGTCAATAACAAATTTTCCTACATTTCTTCAAAACTATAATATGTAAATAGTAATGCACAAGTTACATTCACTATATTTGGTATCCACTTCTGCTTATAAACAAGATGTGCAACTGTTTTCTTATACCTATGCAGAAAAAAAACAAATAGAATTCAAAAAAAAAAAAAAAAAAATACGAGCCATTTTAATAAGATTATCATATAAATAACTCTTTTTTTGCCATACTTGATTTTGTTGTTGATGTATGTTGGATCCAGACACATGGTAGATGGGTTCCCAGAGGTATTGCCTGTTTTAAGCCCTAGAGCCTACATGGTTTTGTATCGAAAATGCGCCTTTGGGTGGTGAGAGTATTCTTGTGCTATATAAGCGACTAAGACTCTCGTCTCCTAATCGATGTGGGACTTTGACACCAACACAACCCCCTAGAAGGCGAGGGGCTTGGGAGTGGCCTAGGCCCTTCTTCTAGTGTCAACTGTTGATGTATGCTAGATCCAAACACAGGATAGGTGAGTTTCCAGAGGCATTGTCTGCTTTGGGTCCTAGGCTCGTATGATTTTATCTTAAAAATACGTATTTGGGTGGTGAGGGTGTCCTTATGCTATATAAATCACCAAAGCCCTTGTCTCCTAAGCGATATGAGACTTTAGCACCAACAATGTGCAATCCAAAAAAATTGTTAACATATCTAATTCTATATCATTTAAGGTTCGTACTTTTCATTGATGATCAAATGATGGCCTTGGTGAAAAAATGATCGCTTATGAAAAGTCTTGGCATTTTCAGTTCAATAAGCAACTTTTTAGACCAATTATATATTCAGATGTGGTATTTTCACATCTGAATATAGTTGATCCGAGGAGTTTCTTATTGATAGTCATTGTTTGACCGACAATAAACCAAGAACCTTAAATGATGGTAAAAAATTAGTTATATTGATAGTAATTTAATAAGTCAATCCAACATTGCACACAATCAAGTTTGGCTCCAGAAAAGTTATTGATAAGATAAGTTTATTGAAATGACATTTTTTTTTTTTTTTTTTCTGGGGGCAATTATATATATTATGAGAACATAATTGCACATCTTATTTATAAGCAACAATGTGTACCAAATATATTACAAATTACTTGTGCTTTACTATTTATATATTACAATTTTTAAGAAATGTGGGAAAATTGTTTAATGACAACTTTTGAAGTACTTTATTTATTTGTTTTAACCAAATCTTTTTCTTTGATATATATCTGTTGTGTTTTAAAGTTGAATGAAACTATACGCACGAGTACATTCTTAAAACCCTAAATAACGAGAAAATCACTTAAATAGCCCCTTTTTAAAAGCCAATTTAAAACTTGCCCCTTTTTAACTTAGGAAGGCATTTTTGAAAACAATAATATTATACTTACAAAGAAATCTTACAAAGATTTCTATATAAAGTGAGATGGCAAAAAATAAATGGAAGAGTGAAATAAAAGTCAAACTCGTTAAATTCACTCTTCCATTCATATTTTGTCACATCACTTTATGTGAAGATCTTTTAAAATTTCTTTGTAAGTATAGTTTTACTCTTTTGAAAATCTAGTTTCTAGAAATTTTATAAAGATCATTGTAAGTATACTATTACTCTTTTGAAAATCTGTTTTTTAGAAATTTTGAAGAAAGTCTTGAAATTTTCTGACTAGACTCCAACGACTCGATTCGTATGTGTTTGAACATATTTTGGCGTTTGAGTTTCGTCAACTTGAGTGCTTAAGTTGACAAGACTCGAGTGCTAGAAGTTGTTTGGGTTGACAAGACTCAAGCAACCCTAGGCGTTGGAGTCCTGTCAATTTTGATATATTGTGTTATGGAAAGAGAACTTATAATTATATTAATTACTTAAACCTTAACTTGATGTGAAATTGTTTTGTTAATGAAATTAATTTGTTTATATAGGTCATAATGACTACGGCCATTCCTACCTTGATTGAGTATGGGGGTGAATGGAAAAAAACTCTGATAATAGGACTAGAGGTGGAAAAGCAACCCGCCCGGTCTGACCCGACCCGACCCGCAACGGGTTGCTGTTAATGGCGGGTCGGTCTTAACCCGCCCGGTAACATTGGCAGGTCGGGTTAGGCCTGCCAATGTTAGGGAATTGGCTGGCCCAACCCGGACCGCCAACCCTAACCCGCCGGGTTAACCCTTTTTTGACTTTTTTTTTTTAATTTTTTTTTGTTTTATTTTGTTTAAGTTTAAATGTTTAATTAAATTTTCAAATGAATAATTAACAATTTATAAATGAATAAATGTAATTGTTTTTAGTTAATTGTTAATTTCTTTTCAAATATCAATAATTAAATTAAATTAATTTTTTTTTTTNTCGTAACCTGGGATTTCCCAACTAAAAAACCGTGTGGTTAATATTAATTTGTTCTATTTTCCTTTTGTCAACACAAAAAGAAAAAATCAGTTTATGCTTCAATTCTCTTCTTCTTGTCGTTCATCATATATATGTTATGGATAAAAGCCACAAATTAGATTAGTGCTGTAACTAGAACCAGGATATTGTATACTTTGATCATGAAGCTTATAATGAAATGATATTGCAGTAAATTTCCGACTATTAAGTTCCTCTGTTTCTAACAACGTACCAAGTATATTACAAATTACTTGTGCTTTACTATTTATATATTACAATTTTTAAGAAATGTGGGAAAATTGTTTAATGACAACTTTTGAAGTACTATATTTATTTGTTTAACCAAATCTTTTTCTTTGATATATATCTGTTGTGTTTTAAAGTTGAATGAAACTATACGCACGAGTAAATTCTTGAAACCCTAAATAACGAGAAAATCACTTAAATAGCCCCTTTTTAAAAGCCAATTTAAAACTTGCCCTTTTTTAACTTGGGAAGACATTTTTGAAAATAATAATACTATACTTACAAAGAAATCTTACAAAGATTTTCATACAAATTGAGATGGCAAAAAATAAATGAAAGAGTGAAATAAAAGTCAAACTCATTAATTCACTCTTCCATTCATTTTTTGCCGTATCGCTTTATATGAAGATTTTTGTAAAATTTCTTAATAAGTGTAGTATTATTCTTTTAAAAATCTAGTTTCTAAAAATTTTATAAAGATATTTATAAATATGGTATTATTTTTTA